CATAGTGAGTTCCAGGACAGCTTGGGCTACAGGGAGACCCTGTCTCAAAAACACTTAAAAAAAAAAAAAAAATGTTTTTAAACATAATCTAACATAGAAAGGAAGTTAGAAGTGTGTGTTGGCATGTTGAATAGGCAAAGAACATTTACTCCATTATGATCTATACTGTCTTCACATGCATTGTATAACACTGAACATGTGTGTAGAGAATCCCTACACACCAGGCATGGTGTATGTGCCTGCAACAGATTGACTTGTCCTATCCAAATTCCTTATACTACAGAGCATTGCATCTGAGTGCTGCTGTAAAACAGCTGATGAGAATTTATATTCAATGTCATTTCTACTTCATCCTCCATAAAACCCCCAAGGCACACTTTGATAGACTTCTTGGCAGGATGTTTTCATAATACGAAATTCCTAAGACACTTCCAAAGAGCTCAGTTTTTTCTCTTCTCATTGGGACAGGATCTTTTCTTTATATTGTTATTTAAAATGCAGTGACTAGAGTACTCGTGGAGCTCCATCTACTCTTGGGAGTTTTTCTAATTTTTCCCTAATAAATTTGTTTGCTCTACTCAGATAAATAATAGTAAAACATTGTGACTAATTAATCTTTTTTTGTTTTAGGTCAAGTGTGGATAATTTTCACTTTCTTTCTTTTTTCCTTATGTTTCTCTTCTGTAAAAACCCCAGACAAAAGCATAGGCTGCTAAGAGTAACTCTGAGGCTATGTGGATCAAAAAGTTCACTTTCTCGGGACACACAGGGTCTGAACTTTTTGCCACTGCCTCTTTGTTGGACTTTCCAGGAAGCACTTCTCTCTGAGCCCATTTCTTCATGTGTAAAAAGGGAGCAGTTGGTAAGAACCTGCACTCTTGGGTGCCCTTAAAGCCCTCTGGCTGTTGATCCTCATTGTGTCTCTGTTCTCCAGAGGCAGCTGTTAGCTGAGGGCACTAACACCGGTTCCTTCCACTTTACTGCAGTTATCTTTTGGTTGAGTTCTGCACTTCTGTTTGTGGTGGTTTATTTTTCAGTCAGTGTAAGTCAGACATCTTTCTGTTTAACACAGACGTCGGGCTGTCTGTTCCCAGAACAGATGGGTGTCACCTGGGCCTCCCAGGAATGATGTGTTCCACCCGGGTCTTGGCAGAATTACTTCTTTTTAACCCAAAAGAAATGATAGAAATAATCTTTAATCTTCTCTAATCCTATTGATAACAGCCAGGTTGCTGTCACTTCAGCCCAGGCCCATACTCCACCCCAGTCATGGCCCTCCAGTGTGGGTTCCTCAGGCAGACTTAATGTCCTCAGCACCGTTGACCTTTAGGGCTAGATTTTTTTTTTTTTTTTTTTTGGTCTTTTTGAGACAGGGTCTCCCTGTAGCCCAGCTGTCCTGGAACTCACTATGTAGACCAGGCTGGCCTTGAACTCACAGAGATCCGCCTGCCTCTGCCTCCCAAGTGCTGGGATTAAAGGCGTGCGCCATCACGCCCAGCAGGGCTAGATAATTTTCAGTTGTGGGGAGGGAGACTGTCCTGTGATGGGCTGTGCAGCAGTGTTCCTGGACTCTACCTGCCAGCCAGCAGCATCTCTCTGGTTGTGACAACCCCAAATGTCTTTAGGCATTGCTAAATATGCACCTGACTAGGAAGGGTTGAAATCACCCATTTAAGAGCCACTGTTTCAAGGTAAGCACAGTTCATATGTTGCATTTATCTTAGCACAAAACTGCCAATCATAGCATGCTTTCGGCACACAGATGCTTAGGAAATGCCCACCTGCCTCCCTCCTTTCCAGCAGGTAGGAAAAGGTCCTTATTAACCATGGCAGACATAAAACAGGACAGGGCAGATCCAAGAGTCCAGGGAGAAAACAAGGCACTGTTTCCTAAAACTGGCCCTGGCAGAGAGTGGCACCCTTTTTTATGACTTCGCTGAAGAGACTGCGCTGCTATTAGAGCTGCCACATGCCATTCTTACTGGGTCTCTTTGTGCCTGGGCCTCTCTACTCCAGCTTCTCGTTATCTTGTGTACCCATGGAGGTGAGTGAGTAAGCATTTTTTCTTGGGGAGTTTAGGCACGGGGTGTAGCACCAGCAGCATGACATATGCTCTCTCCCAGGCCCTTGGCCCAAGAACACTGGAGGTGTTCGCCTTAACCCACTTTTTTGTGTTGTTTTTGTCTCTTTTTTTTTGTTTTTATTTTATGTGTATGAGTATATTGCCTGCATGTATGTGAGTGCACCCGTTTCATGCAATGCCGAGGAGGTCAGAAGAGGGCTTCGGATTTCCCTGGGACTGGAATTAAGGATGGTTCGTAGCCATGTGGGTACTGAGAATCAAACCCGGGTCCTCTGTAAGAGCAGTCAGTGCTCTTAACGGCTGAGCCATCTCTCCAGCCCAGTTTTTATCTTTTTGAGACAGGGTTCCCCTGTAGCCCCAGCTGGCCTGGAATGCACTTTGTAGACGAGGCTGGCTTTGAATTCAGGCCTCTGTCTCCAACCATGGCCTGAAACTTTAGTTAGCTGAGCTTTTTTTTTTTTAATTATTTATTTAATAACCGCATACTTAGAAGAAACATTTCATTATAACAGCATTGACATGTTCAATAACATTTTCCTGAGCTAAGATGCATTTCTTTCAAAATTGGCTGTAAATTTTTAGGTTTACAGTTGAATTATTACAGTTATAAAATATTGTACTCAGTATAAACCCTATATGACATAAAATTAAATGAGGTTCTAACCTTTAAAAAAGATCTCCATTTCATTATTAAAATACAGAGTTTCATAAGAAAACTTAATTTTTAATGCAATTGACACTAAGATGTTTGCACATACTTTTCTAATCTCTAGAGATCAGATTATTACTAGTCACAGTTGGTTACTTTCAGAGCTCCTTGGCATCTAAGCATGGATATAAAGTCATCAGGTAGATTTCAATGGTAATGTTTTTCACATC